ACTTCTCGACCCCAAAACCTGCCTCCATATGCTGAACGCACCGAGAACTTCCCACTCGCATCCCAGGACCAAGACTCCAGGCATTGGTTCCCACTCAGCTACCCGTGGCCATAGCTGGAGGAACTGATGCAACATTACAGCATCCAACTCTGGGCTGATGTCCAAAGCCCACTGCCCATTGGCCGCCACCTGTCCAACCCTGAGATCCTGCCTAACTCTTTTCGGAATCCTGTTGTACAAGTCTGGTGCCACTTCCTGAATCTTCGCTCCATCGAGCCACCTATCTTCCCAGAACAGCGCCGATTCTCCATTCCTCGCATTGACCCTCAAAGTAGCCTGACAGATTTGCTTGGACTCAGCAGGCACCCGTATTTTGAACTCACTCCACGGCCTACTCTCATCCGCACGAGCAAGCCAAGGCCATCGCGCCTACATCGCCATATTCATCCAACGTAAGTTGGGAATGCCAAGCCCACCCGCCCACTTGGGCGCCCACACTGTCTCCCAAGCGACGGCACAATTGCCGCCATTGGCCTTCTCCTTGTTGCACCATAAGAATCCTCTACACACTTATTTAAAAACTACAGAAAATGCTAAAACTCTGGTGTCATATTTTTAAGCATGGCAAATCTGACGTTTATCATGGAATTTTTGTATTGGCATGATGATGAAAAATTTAGTTTACAAGCACGGCAATTTTCTGGCACGAAAATAACTGAGACGGATTCGCCAGCTAAACTTGTCATCGTCGACAAACACATTTGCCATGAAAAATGTTTGATTTGCCATCCTAAAAATCTGACGTTCGCTAGATATTCAGGTCCAAAAATTATGGTCACCTACAAGCCAAATAATCATGTTTGGCTTCAACTGAAAGAATTAACCAAAAAATAAAAACAAAACACAAAATTGTAGTATGATATCAACGCAAATTCTACTTGGTTGAATCTGTACCAGATTTTATCTCATTGCCCCACAAGAGAGAGAGAGAGAGAGAGAGAGAGAGAGAGATCAAACACATAGCTAGTAGTATAAACCCTCGGTCCCGAGGGTGAACTACTCCTTCCTCATCATGGTGGCTGCCGGGATGATGAAGATGGCCCCCCGGTGATGATTTTTCCCTCCGGCAGGGTGCTGGAACGGGCTCCCGATTGAGTTTTCATGGATACAGAGGCTTGCGGCGGTGGAACTTCTCATCTAGGGTTATTTCAAGGGGTTTTGTATTTATAGGATTTTTTGGCGTCGGTCTCACGCTAAGATGGGCCACGAGGGGCCAACTACCCACTAGAGCGGGCCAGAGGGGGTGGCGTGCCCTGGTGCCTAGTGGCCACCTCCTTCACCCCCTGGTCCTGCTACGAAGCTTCTAGTGCCTCTTTTGTTCCAAAAAAATCGTCAAAAAGTTTTGCTGTATTTGGAGAACTTTTATTTCTGCAGAAAAAACAAGACCACGGTAGTTCTACTGAAAACAACGCTAATCCGGGTTAATTCCATTCAAATCATACCAAAACCACGTAGAATTAATTGTTATAAACATGACATGAATACTTAATAAATTATAGATACGTTGGACGTATCATCCACTATTTCTCCTGATCCAGTTGAGCGGGTCACATTGGTCACCCTAGCAAGCTACCATAACTGACCAAAAATCAGCTCTACTCTCCAGTCCGATCTCTTAGAAATAAGTACAAACACCTTGCATCTAGAAGCTATCATCTGACTTAGCCATCACCACACGCCACCATTCTTGTGAAACTTCATCAAAGCATTCTATGAGCAACGAAGCACACATGTATTGTGGTTTCACAACAAAAGGTGGATTAGGCACCAATGACATATGGTGACCGCGTGTCTGTCATGCCAAAATGGCGCTGTGGGGCAGCCCGCAAGCCACCTAGTCACATTTGGACACACGTGTGTGTCCCTACGCGCATTGCCTCTCCCCATTAACCTTCCATCACATCTGCCAGTTATCCCCTTCGTCTGCTTCTTCTCGGTTGTGCCACGCGCCAGCGCACTATGGCCCCAGTGCCACCCATGGTCTGCCCCCGAACCATTCCCTCTATCTTTGTAGGGCTTCATCGCCTTCCATTGCCCCTTCTAGATCTTGTGCCTCCTTTGCCCTGCTCCAGAATAGTATGAGTTGCATGCACAACACCCCCTTGGCGGCACCCGAGGACATGCCTCTCTGCACAGCTAATAACCTCTTCCTCTTTGTTGCTTTCGAGCACTCATCACCTACACTTCCCACCAATCGACCATATCATCGTCGTGGAAGGACCAGAAGGGCCCTCTTCCTCGGCTCAGTGTAGGCCCTGGACCTCCTCTATGCTCTCTCAGCCCCCCGGCTCTATATATGCTCAAAAACATCAGATGTATTTTAACCCTAATTTTTTTTGCCGATGCCACTTCCCGATCCGAGGCGATCTTGGTTTTCTCCCTGTTCTGGCACCCTGCTGGAGGCGGCAATTGATCTTCTTAGACCTTTCCAACATCCCTTTCTTCTTCTATGATGATTGGGAGTAGTCCACCCTAGAGGCTGAGAGTTTGTACCAGTAGCTATGTGTTATGTCTCTCTCTCTCCCTTGATCATGTAAGCTTGCAATCTTGATTGTGATTATGGGATTTGTTAATGGAGTTAAATCTTGTGATGTATCTCCCACTTTTCTTTGTGTATTTGACTAGATCTTGCTCCTTCTATGAGCCTTTTTTATGTTGGACCGAATCTTTTGGGAATCATTGATATCATGATGTGTTTCTAGTAGAATTTCTAGAGATGCCTTAGTGACACTGGGGTGACTCTATGGATAATAGAATAGAACTAACGAACATGAGGTGATTGTTTAGTAATTTTGGGGCTATATGAGGTGACATTGGGGCTGTCCTATGGATCATGATTAGAAATATAAACTTGATGGTGTGCGAAGCCATACCTACGCTATCTCATCCTACTTTGATCTGATAAAAGAGGGAACCTTGGAGGGATCATTTACCACATACTTTTTGAGGGTATATCATGTGTTTTAACTATGTTAATGATGTTGAGAGTTGGCACTAGTGAGTATGAAAACTAGGCCTTGTTTCCAAGCATTGAGACACTATTTTACTCACTTCTGCTACCAATTTACCTTGCTGTCCAAATTTATTCTGAAATAAAATAACCTCTACCATCCATATTACCCATCTATTATCATCTCTTTGTCGAACTAGTGCACATATATAACAGAAAACTGCATTAGGTGTTCTAGGGACACAAGAGACTTCTTCTATCTTAGTAGCAGGGTTGTTTGAGAGGGACTACATTCAACATACATCTCCCATAGGTTGATAAACCTAAGGTCATCCAGTTGAGGGAAATTGATGCTGTCTTAGGAACCTCTGCACTTGGAGGCCAACAATGTCTACAAGAGTAGAAGTATGTCGTAGACATCAAGCGTACGCAAACATTTAGTGGCGTTCATTTTCTATGATTGCCATTGGAGATGGCCACAACATATTTCTCCAAAAATCGATACAAAGTTGTTTGTTGGCCTGTTGTACTCATGGCATCACAGAGCATCATGTGGCCATAGTAATTAATGATCCTTCCGTTGCAACATAGAACCAGTACAGAGTTAGTGGTTCATTAGTTGCTCTCGTCACATATGGAGTGCATCAATACTCTGTTCAAGCATGGCTTGGGTGGCTTGGAATTAAGAGCAATGTTAGAGCTCGTATGTTTTGATTCGTGTTGCTCTGTATATTGGTCATTTGATTGATTTGCTCTATGTTGCAATTTGTTCATCATGTTATTGTATTGTTTTGCTAGCCCGGCCATGCATCCGTGTTGTACCTCAAGAATGAGGGCAAATCATTCTCGTTGATGCATTGTTGATGTAAATTGCATGGGCAAAAAAGTTGTGCAACATGGCCAATATTGTCAAGACTACCAATGCCAAAGCAAGTGATGAAGGTTGTGATCGAAGCAAAGGAGTTGGATGAGGGCTTGCACCGACTACCCGAGTGGTTAGGTCGAAAGGGAGGAGATGGGAGAACGAGAACGAGAAGCGATAAGGTGCGGTGACCTAGATGACAGAGAAGTTTGAGGAACTATCATGGCGGAGGAGGAGGCATGTGCCGAGAGCAATGAGATGAAGGAGGAAAGATTTAACGCTATCATGGAACTACAAAAGAGAAAGATGGAGCTTGAGGAGAGGAAGCTTGCGATCAAGTAAGCACGCGAGGATCAAAATATCTTTTATGTGAAAGCCGATGACTTGGATCCTAACGTGGTCAACTTTGTTCACCAATTGTGTGGTGACATCTATGCACGCTATGACCAGAAGGACGGGAAAAAGAGGCTGAAAAGTGAGTGACTCGATACATACAACGGATGCTTTACTTTTGGTTATATGGATGTATACAACCTAGTGAAGATCCGATACTTTTGCTGTTCGATGCATTTTTGCAACTATTAAACTGTATTGTCAAATTGTTATTAATCCAGAAAATTTGACAAAGGGGAGAGGACAAATAGGAAAATCGCCAAGGATAAGGCTGGATCGCCGATGCTCGGCCAGATTTTCACAAACACATGCATCCGGACGTGTGCATATACATTCAGGGGCGTCCGTTTTGATGATTGCCATTGGATATGGCCTGAGCATATTTCTCCAAAAATGGGTGCAAAGTTGGTTGTTGGCCTGTCATTCTCATGGCATCACACCGCATCATATGGCCACAGTAATCAGCGGTCCGTCAGTTGCAATCGTGAACCAGTACTGAGGTTTGTGGTCACGTACGGAGTGCAACAGTACTCTGTACGAGGTGCAACCGTCAACCAGTACCACGGAGTTGGCGGTTGTCGGTTGTCGGTTGATTAGTTGCTCTCAGGTACGAAGTGCAGCAGTGCAACGATATAATACAGTGAGACCCATAAACCAGAGGTAGTACCTCCGGAGTGCATGGCGTGGATGGTTTGGAGGGATTGACGAGAGTACGCATCGCCAGCAAGTCGCTCCATGTTGGCCATGGATGCCAAAGGCTCCTCTCCGGCTATGCCGCCGCCGCCGCCGCTGCGGATCGTGATCTGCCCATGGCTCGCGTTCGGCCACCTGCTGCCCTACCTGGAGCTCGCCGAGCGGCTGGCCTCGAGGGGCCACCGCGTGTACTACGTCTCCACGCCGCGCAACATCGCCCGCCTCCCGCCGCTGCGCACCGCCGCCATGCCTTGCGTCGAGCTCGTCGCGCTCCCGTTCCCGCGCGTCGACGGCCTCCCCGACGGCGCCGAGTCCACCAACGACGTGCCCGCCGACAAGCGGGAGCTGCACTGGAAGGCCTTCGACGGCCTCGCCGCGCCCTTCGCGGAGTTCATGGCCGCCGCGTGCGCCCGCCAGGACAGCAGGCCTCACTGGGTCATCGCCGACGGCTTCCACCACTGGGCCGCCGCCGCCGCCGTCGAGCACAAGGTTGGTTGCTTGTTTGCATCTCATTGATCACATGTGTCTCGTTGGCCTGATTATCAATCAATCCATGGATCGGTACATCAGGTGCCGTTCGCACAGCTTCTCCCTACCGCTGCGATGATGGTCTCTGCTACCTCGGCGTCTACGCCCCGTTACGAGCGCGAGGGAGCACGGTTCTTCACCGACATTGGCGCGTCTGGTATGTCCTGTGCCCAGCGCTGCTCCTTGACAGGAGAGAGGAGCACGCTGATGGCCATCCGGAGCTGTCCGGAATGGGAGCCCGAGTGCTTCCAGCAGGTGGCGGCGATCTGCGGCAAGCCGGTTGTCCCCCTCGGCCTTCTGCCGCCGTCGCCCGACGGAGGCCGACGCGTGGCATCAAGCGCGAACGAGATGGAGAAGGAGGCCACCATTGGATGGCTGGACGCACAGCCGCCCAAGTCAGTGCTGTACGTGGCGCTGGGGAGCGAGGTGCCGCTGCGCACGGAGCAGGCACACGAGCTGGCTCTCGGGCTGGAGCTCGCCGGGGCACGCTTCCTCTGGGCTCTGAGGAAGCCGCTAGGTGCTGCCGGCGGCGCCCTCGAGGCCCTTCCTCCTGGCTTCCAAGAGCGCACCAGTGGCCATGGGCTGGTCACCACGGGGTGGGTTCCTCAGATGAGCGTGCTGGCGCACGGCGCCGTGGGGGCGTTCCTAACGCACTGCGGCCGGAACTCGCTCATCGAAGGGCTTCTGTTCGGGCACCCGCTCGTGATGCTGCCCATCCTGGGGGACCAATGGCCGAACGCGCGCCTCATCATGGAGGCGAGGAAGGTCGGGCTGCAGGTGGCACGGGATGAGAAGGACGGGTCGTTCCATCGCCATGGCGTCGCCAGCGCAGTTCGGGCCGTCATGCTGGAGGGAGAAGCCAGGAGGGGCTTCGTGGCAAATGCTCTCAAGCTGCAGAAGATTGTGGCCGATGAGGAACTCCATGAGAGGTACATCGATGAGCTCGTAAAGCAGCTCAGATCTCACAGCCAGCACCGCGTGAAACCGGCTGATCCCTCTGTCAACTTTTATAAGAGCGTTTAGATCACCACTACTTTAGTGATCTAAACGTTCTTATATTTGTCTACAGAGGGTTTGGTTGTTCGATATTCAGTTATTTACGCGTCCTATTATTGTATGTGTGTTGTTGTTTTATTTTTCGGGGAATCACACCTGAATGTATCTCATCTCACTCATATAGAAGTGAGGATCAAATCCTGATTTTAAGTATTGCTGTTAATCATGCTTGTGCCATATTCTTGCCATTTACGTGCAGTTAGCATTAGTCCTTCAACGTGTTTAGTTAGGGTCATTAGAGTTAGAGGATGAGATTTGATGGGTACGATACTTTAAGGGTGTGGCTGGATGTCAGACGACTGGGACTTAACCAAGAAAAGAAAGGAAAAATTAAAAGAAAACATTGATCTTCACGTAAAATACACGAATATAGCATTGAGTGAGACTTCGTTAAGTCTCAATCAACTTAGATTTAGCAATCCCGATACTTTAAATCTACCATTTGATTATGGAATTGAGAATTGAGAATTGAGAAGAGATTAGGCATGAGAACCGAGACTCCAACTCCCGATGTTTCTATTAACGTGGGAGGGATGGTAGTTGGAAAAGAATTGTTTTAGTGAGGACGCGAAGTATCTACACCCGAGCTCAAATGCACCCTGATGAACAGTAGAATCAAAAAAAAATGTGCTTGCAAAAACTTGTCATAAAAGAACATTCCTGGAAGTCATGGGAAAAAAATAGATACTCCAAAAATGCTATTTTTGAAAGTATTTGGGAGTGCTGATTTTTTTACCATGCCTTCCAGAAATGTTATTTCGGATTGAAAATTTGCACCCAAAAAAAATCAGATTTTTTTATTTCATTTTTTCTTCAGAATTGACTGTTCATCCCGGGCTCAAATGAGCTTGGGAGTAGATGGGTACTTTCGTTTTAGTGAGTTCATCTTAACCTTTCATCATAAGTTCATAACTTACATTATTTTTCATAAGTCCCTCGTCAATTTCCATGAACCAAACAAGTGAACAAAGTGTCTTCTCACATTTCCACGCACAATTCATCCTATTATACGACTAACAAAGGATTGGAAAATAAAACAGCACCTCCCCTATCTAATTTCAATACAACTCCCTATTGTAAACTTCGAACCCCCTTCCCAAATATTATCAAATGCATAGATCCAGTCACTAGAGTCAAGCTTGATCTACATGCTAGTGAACTCTTGGATAAAAGCAGGAGCCTATGGCCTTTTTCTCTAGAAAAATGGGTAGCGTTTTCTATGACAGCCTTCGCGTCGAGTGCTAGCGATCGGATCGGACTACGATAGTTGGCTTCCCACTAGATTACTACTCCCTCCGTCCGGGTTTATTAGACCCCATTCTATTTTATGCTAAAGTTTGACTTGCAAATTTAACTAATAAAATGTAAACTATATGTCAAAAAAATTATATTGTTGGAAAGCTCTTTCAAACACAAGTCCAATGGTGTAATTTTTGTATCATATAATTTATATATTTTTAATAATATAGATAGTCAAAATCTGGCACAAAATACAAGGGGGCCTAATAAACCCGGACGGAGGTAGTAGTGCAGTTGTTGGATTGATGTCTCCTAGAACGTCACTGGGGACGTGGTCCCAAGTAGTTTCATTGGAGACGTGCGCCTAAGAGCATCTCCAACAGCAGGCCTATGGAAACCTTCGTTGCCAGCAACTAGGTGGTGGTGATGGGTCTTGTTCCCACGTCACATTCACCCTCCCCCAAACTCCTCACCGCCGCCACCGGATCACCACTAGACAAAGGCTGGCGGTGGATGATGGCGGCGCCGGAGCCTTCCTGCGTCGTCGCTCTAGGGCGCGGCTGCGTCGGATTCTTGTGTGGGTGCCCCGATCTCCCCTCGCGCGTTTGGTCCCCACCACAGCTACGAGTTGGTCTGGTGGTGGTGTCTCGGCCCGGCGGCGTGGCTCGGTGCTCCTTCAACCGCGGCCAATGACCTTCCTCGCGGCCGGTGGCGCGCGCGATGGGGTAGGATGTCATCTCCCACATGCTTGTCCGTGGAGGTCTTGGCTATGGAGGTGTTGTCGTGTCACATTTGTTCCGGCCGGGTCCAGCCTGATCTGGCCCATTGGTGGCTGCCGGCGGCGAGGATGCAGAGGTGCGACTGTCGGTGAAAACTGAGCCAACTTTGGTCATGGCGGACGATGGCGGTGTCTTTGTGTCGTTACTCTGATGAAGGCATTGTGATGCGGAGCATCCCTCGACCATCACCATGGACGTCGCACCACCACCGCAAGCACGGAGAGAACCTATGACGAGAACTCGTACACGCGTCATCGAGAACGAGGTGAACTCCTTCCTCTTCGAGCTCCACTCAAATTCATTCGAGAGTTGGGTCCTACCTCAAACAGAAGGGTTATGCGTGATTAGGTATCAAGGTGTTGATCATGGAGAGGCTAGCACAAAGACCCGAACAACTACTGACGAGAAGGAGGAAAGGAGCGAGAAGGATGAAGGAGAAGAGGCACTAGACACCCCGGGTGCCCGGGCACTTTGGCTCCGGAGGCTCTGCCCCTCCATGGTGCTGCTCCCAGTCGGCCCCGGGTGCCCAGCATACAGCCCCGGGTGCCCGACCTCACGTGGCCCAGCCGCGGCCCAGGCCACCCCCGGGTGCCCGGCCCCTGATGACCCACAAGTGTAGGGGATCTATCGTAGTCCTTTCGATAAGTAAGAGTGTCGAACCCTACGAGGAGTAGAAGGAAATGACAAGCGGTTTTCAGTAAGGTATTCTTTGCAAGCACTGATATTGTAGGTAACAGATAGTTTCGTGATAAGATAATTTGTAACGGGTAACAAGCAATGAAAGTAAATAAAGTGCAGCAAGGTGACCCAATCCTTTTTGTAGCAAAGGACAGGCCTGGACAAGTTCTTATAATGAGAAAAGCGCTCCCGAGGACACATGGAAATTATCGTCAAGCTAGTTTTCATCACGCTCATATGATTCGCGTTCGTTACTTTGATAATTTGATATGTGGGTGGACCGGTGCTTGGGTACTGCCCTTTCTTGGACAAGCATCCCACTTATGATTAACCCCTATTGCAAGCATCCGCAACTACAAAAGAAGTATTAAGGTAAACCTAACCATAGCATGAAACAAGTGGATCCAAATCAGCCCCTTACGAAGCAACACATAAACTAGGGTTTAAGCTTCTGTCACTCTAGCAACCCATCATCTACTTATTATTTTCCAATGCCTTCCTCTAGGCCCAAATAATGGTGAAGTGTCATGTAGTCGACGTTCACATAACACCACTAGAGGAGAGACAACATACATCTCATCAAAATATTGAACGAATACCAAATTCACATGACTACTAATAGCAAGACTTCTCCCATGTCCTCAGGAACAAAAGTAACTACTCACAAAGCATATTCATGTTCATAATCAGAGGGCTATTAATATGCATTAAGGATCTGAACATATGATCTTCCACCAAATAAACCAACTAGCATCAACTACAAGGAGTAATCAACACTACTAGCAACCCACAGGTACCAATCTGAGGTTTTGGTACAAAGATTGGATACAAGAGATGAACTAGGGTTTGAGAGGAGATGGTGCTGGTGAAGATGTTGATGGAGATTGGCCCCCTCCCGATGAGAGGATCGATGGTGATGACGATGGTGATGATTTCCCCCTCCCGGAGGGAAGTTTCCCCGGCAGAACAGCTCCGCCGGAGCCCTAGATTGGTTCCGCCAAGGTTCCGCCTCGTGGCGGCGGAGTTTCGTCCCGTAAGCCTGCTTATGATTTTTTCTAGGGTAAAAGACTTCATATAGCAGAAGACGGGCACCGGAGGCCTGCCAAGGGGCCCACGAGGCAGGGGCGCGCCCAGGGGGTAGGGCGTGCCCCCCACCCTCGTGGCCAGGGTTTGGGCCCCCTCTGGTACTTCTTCCGCTCAATATTTATCATTAATTCAAAAAATGACTTTCGTGGAGTTTGAGGACTTTTGGAGCTGTGCAGAATAGGTCTCCAATATTTGCTCCTTTTCCAGCCCAGAATCCCAGCTGCCGGCATTCTACCTCTTCATGTTAAACCTTGTAAAATAAGAGAGAATAGCCATAAGTATTGTGACATAACGTGTAATAACAGCCCATAATGAAATAAATATCGATATAAAAGCATGATCCAAAATGGACGTATCAACTCCCCCACGCTTAGACCTCGCTTGTCCTCAAGCGGAAGCCTATATCGAAAAATATGTCCACATGTTTAGAGATAGAGGTGTCAATAAAAATAAAATACGGACATGAGGTCATCATGATCATTCTTTTAACAACAACATATATAATTTGTCATATGATTTCTTATGCTCAAGTAACAATCAATACACAATGTCAAGTATGATTCCGAAACTTAATTGAGAACTAACAAACTATAATCTTAGTCATTGAAGCAATTACAATTTGTCATAACATCGGAAAGAGTCAATAATACAGATTTTCAGCAAGTCCACATACTCAACTATCATTTAGTCTTCCACAATTCCTAACACTCACGCAATACTTATGGTTTTGGAGTCTTAATCGGACACAGAGAAAGATAAGGGCTTATAGTGTTGCCTCCCAACCATTTACCTCGAGGGTAATGTCAACAATAATAGTTCATGCTAACTTACATCCAATTGGATATATATATATCAGGATCTTTCCAACACGAGGTGCTTGCCAAAGGATAAAATGTAAAAAGGAAAGGTGAAGATCACCTTGACTCTTGCATAAGGTATAAGACATAAAGTAAAAGATAGGCCCTTTGTAGAGGGAAGCAGAGGTTGTCATGTGCTTTTATGGTTGGATGCACAAAATCTTAATGCAAAAGAACGTCACTTTATATTGCCACTTGTGATATGAACCTTTATTATGCAGTCCGTCGCTTTTATTACTTCCATATCACATGATCGTATAAAGCTTATTTTCTCCGCACTAATAAGTCATACATATTTAGAGAGCAATTTTTATTGCATGCAACATGACAACTTACTTGAAGGATCTTACTCAATCCATAGGTAGATATGGTGGACTCTCATGGCAAAACTGGGTTTAAGGATATTTGGAAGCACAAGTAGTATCTCTACTTGGTGCAAGGAATTTGGCTAGCATGAGGGG